ACACACACACACACACACACACATATAACAGAATTTTCAGCAACCATTAGTCTAAAAGTTGAAAACAGTCTTTATCGTTTTTAATTTTTTTGTGGAACACATTTTTTCAGGATTCTTTAATGAATAGAAAGTTCACTGAACATAATTTATTTGAAATAAAATGCCTTTACTATCACTGATTTAATACATATGTGTGGAATAAAAAAAAAATATATATATATTTTTTTAAACTGTACTTACCAGAAACCTTTGAATTGTAGTGTATCATGGTTTCCATGAAAATATTGAGCAGCAAAAATGTTCTACCATTGATAATAATAAAAAATTAGTTTCGTGAGAACTAATTCAGCATTTTAGAATGATTTCTGAAGGATCATGTGACACTTTAGACTGGAATAATGGCTGCAGAAAATTCCAAAACGGCAAAACTCCGGGAAAAATCATGTTTTAAAATATACAAAAGAATTGTTTTAAAGTGAAATAATATTTCACAATATTACAGGCTTTACAGTACTTTTATCAAATAAATGCAGACTTGGTGTACATAAGAGACTTCTTTCAAAAACATAAATTTTTTTATAAAACAATAAAACTTTTAGCCACCAATGTGTATGCAAGCGTGTTCTGTTTCTTTATTGTAGAGCTTGACAAATGCTTACTCGTGCTTAGCAGTTCACACAATGGAGGAAAAATGAAAGATCTGCATTGTTGCCATTTGTAAGGAAAATGCTTATGATTCTTAAACACTTACTGAAATCTCTTTATTTTCATCCACACAAATTGTTATAAAGGATAATCAGACTTACTTTGGCTGTGAACGAATCAGTTCTTTTTAAAGAACCAAATCCACTTAATGATTCACTCATAACACATAAATACAATCACTGAACAAAACTGGGTGGTTATGAATGAATTCAAAAGACTTAAAATCCCCAACACCAATGTTCACTAACATCCTTGTACAAATGCGTGTCTCACCAGCGTGGCTCCTGTACTGTGTCCAGGACGGGTCCTCATGTCCACCATGCCTCCAGGGGGAGGCTGTTTTCCGGGGAAGTTATTGTAATATGGAACCTCTGGGGGTGGAGGCAGGTCCTCTTCCTCTTCCTCCCAGGCCGACCCATCGAAAGGAGCCATCCTAAGAGAGAGAGATAAAGGTAAAGATGAACATTATGATATTATTATATAGAGAGAGATGCTGTTTGAGTGATGACAAATTATGTATTGCTTTGTTTTGATACCAGCAGGAACAGACACACGCTCAATAAAAAGGAAGTAGGAACAGTAAACAAATAAAATACGCAAACAATATAACTTTTTAATTAGCCTTTTTGGTCTTGTTTTCTAGTCAAAATTCCCACAAATCCTTAAAACAGGATACATTTCATGAGCAGTGTTGTTTTAGCTTTTTTATATTTTATATATTTTTTGTTTTCATTTCAATTTTACTTCAAGTTTTAGTCATTTTTATTAGTTGTATTATATTTCTGTTAAGCTTTAATTTTGTTTCAGTTTT